TGTTCTGCTCCCAGCATGGCTGCCAGCGCTTTATCATTGGACTATCCCCCAAGGCCGTGGTAACATGGTTACTGTTTCTGGTATACGTCCAGGTGATCTTCGTTGGTATTGGCATCCAGATCGTACGAATTTTGAGATTCGCGCCGTCATACCCAAAGTGGTTCCAACCCGGTTTCTACTTCGGCCTTCCTTATGGCGGCTCTTTTGGTCCTTGGATATGACAAGTAAGGCTTTCACTCCCTGGTGGCGGCTACTTCAGGATTGTATAGGCTACAGGGCTAAACTACACCGGTGGTCTCCTACTAAGTATCCGTGTGCTAGCTGCCCTATATGTTTAGTCTCTTCTTCCGAAGACTTGTTCCATTTTGTGGTAGGATGTTTCGATAAGTGGCAATACTGGTGTAACGTAATCTCTCTTCTTAACATTGGTGACACTTTCGAGACTGAATTTGATATTTGGTCCGGCTTTGTATCTCTCTGCGGTCAAAACCAAAAGCCTCTAACGTCGGATATGCTTGTTATTCTTGGCTCTGGATTAGCAACACTTTGGAAATACCATTGGCGCTGTGTGATCGATGGTGATCTGTGGAACTCACAGGCTGCTCTTAATATGTTTCAACAAGATCACTCAGTACTTATTGCTGATACTTTAGAAGCTCAATCCCCTTTAGTTCGTAGTGATAGTCTAGTGACGCCTTCGGGCTAATTTTATAATTTCTTTATATATCTAATAAACTTACAGTTAATACAAAAAAAAAAAAAAAAAAAAAAAAAAAAATGAACTGTAAGGTTATTAAATTATGTACAAATTATAAATTAGCCCGAAGGGGCTTAAAGAAAGGCTTTCTTTCGCTTAAAGAATTTTTACAAAAGGTATTTGCATCCAAATCTTTATCCCATCCATCCGTCATCAAAAATCGTTCAATCCGTTCAAATTTTTGTTGTATTCGACGCGTCTCAATCAGCTCTATCTTTTTCAATTACTACGCTTTCACCAATCTCTTCGATCTCGCCTTCAATTTCGACATTTAAGACATTTGTGAAAACATTCTCTCGTATTTGCACATTTAAAATCGACATTCTTAATTTTTCCTCTGGATTATTTAACAATGTCAACTCAAGATCATGTTTCCTGGTCAACTGTGGCTTCTCGCGGTGCCTCCAAGAAAGTCCTGCGTCCACTTCCTGTCTCTGGCGAGACTGATTCTCAATTCAAGTTGAAAAGTAACACCCTTTTCCATCATCCTGAACTTGATTACCAGATTATGGTCCGCCAAGCTGCTTCTATTGTCAAGCAAGCACTGACGCCTGGTTCTGTTTTGTTTTCGTTCCCCGCTTCACTTTTTAAGCATCGGACAGAAGCTTATGAACTCATTGAAGATCAATGTGGTGCTGTCCAGGGATTTCGTCCTATTAGCAATTATGGTACTCGCTCTGCTGGTGAATTCATGGTTGAAGTTAAGTTTGTAATGCCAACAAGCACTACAAAGGCAATCACTCACGGTGTTAGTTACAAGAACTTGTTGTTTAAAGGCTCTCCTTCTGTTCCTAGTGGCAACAATACACTTGTGCATGTCAAGATGACTCTTTTGCGAATTCCGGACAAGGATACGTTTCTGGCGGACCTCAAAAGATCTCTGCGTTATTATGGTGAAGTGTACCAGGTGAAAGAGTACACTTGCGGTGGGTACTTTGAAGGTGAGCTGTCGGTTATCCTTGATATCTCGGCTGGCTATATTGATGCTTCTGGTGACAAGGTCAAGAATGAGCCACTTACAAATAATTTGTACTTGGAGGAATGGGACTGTTTTGCTTCGGCAACATTTAAAGGTGCACCCACGGTTTGTCACTGGTGTCGTTTGGCTGGACACGCACGGTCCAAATGCCCGGATTTGGCTAAAACCAAATGTTTCTCGTGTCATGGTAGTGGACATACCGCCAAGTTTTGTAAGAAGAAAAATCTTGGTGTTACAGAACTGCCTGTTATGGATGAGATCTCAACTGATCTTCCCTCCCCCACCGTTGAGAGCCTCCACGCTCAAGTCCTGTCTGACTCGGACACAGATATTTCTGACGTGTCTACGTCCCCCAAGTTTGAACCAAGTGGCTCTGCAGCTTCTAAGTTTGCAACCACTGTTGCGAGTGTATCCATGGAGGTTGACAATCACGTGAATACTACCACTCCTGCTTCTTCGACGGCTGGTCCGATGGTCGAAGTTACTAGTGGCGCTATAAAAGTTGCTGGTGCCAAGCGCTCGGTTTTAGGTAAGCATTCTGTCCCGAAATCAGGCGTTAAAGGTCCGCTTCCCAAATTGGTGGTTCGTACACCATCCAATTTAAAAGGTCATAATTTGTTCACGAAGACAAAGGTTGTTAAAAAATAATTTTTTTAATTTTCCCTTTCGATTTCTATAATTTTTTCAATGCTAAATAAACTCACTGTTAATACAAAAAAAAAAAAAAAATTAGCCCGAAGGCGTGACTAAACTAATCTTTGGAACTGTTGACTTTGCCAAGGTCGAAGCAATAAGAACAGAATGGTCTTGTTGGAACATGTTAAAAGCCGCGTGAGAGCTCCATAGGCCATCTTCCATAACACACTGCCAATGGTATTTCCAAAGGGTACTAAAAGTTGAGCCTAATAGAACCAGAATATCAGGCTTTAGACGTTTGGATTTAATAGAACAAAGAGAGACCATGCCAGACCAGACGTCGTATTCGTTTTGAAAGTCGTCACCTATTTCAAGAAGCGAAATGACGTTGCACCAAAATTGCCATTTATCAAACAGCCGACCACAAAGTGAAAAAGATCTTCTGAGGAAGACACTAGGCATATAGGGCAGGTAGCACTAGGAAACTTCAAAGGAGACCATCTATGTAGCTTAGCGCGATATCCAATACAGTCTTGTAGTAACCGCCACCAAGGTGTAAAAGCCTTACTGGTCAAATTAAGAGTCCAGAAACGACGCCACAAAACAGGTCTCAGCAAACATCGTGTTGGTACAATCTCCGGGACCTTAGGAGGATAATCAAACTTGGAACGATCCTGATGCCAAAACCACCGAATTTTTTTTACAAAAGGTATTTGCATCAAAACGGGCTTTTTTTCGCTTAAAGAATTTTTACAAAAGGTATTTGCATCCATACTCTTGTTTCAACGATATCTCGGTGAATTCTATACATCCATCAGAAATTTTTATTGCATTCGATTCCTCTCTATCGGTTCTATCTTTTTATTTATTACGCTCCCCTCCATCTCTTCGATCTCAGCGTTTATCGCGACATTTAACCAATCCGGCAAAGATTTCAACATTCTCGATTCTCAATCTCCAATTTTAATTTTCTTTCTGGATTATTAAACAATGGCAGAAAATCTTCACAATTCCTGGGCAACAATCGTGTCCCGTGGTAATTCCAAGAAAGTTGTTCGTCCTTTATCTGTCCCTAAAAATGTGGACTCTCAATTCAAGTTACAAAGTAAGGTCATCTACCAAAGTGAAGACCTTGAAGGCCTCATCAGAATGCAGAAGGCTACCGAAATAGTGAAACAGGCCCTGACACCTGACTCCGTTCTTTCTCCATTCCTGCTTCGTTAATCCAACATCGTACCGAAGCATATAAGCTTATTGAAACGCAATGTGGTCCGGTCCATGGTTTCCGCCCAATCAGTAATTATGGTTCCAGCTTAGATGGTGATCATTTGATTGAAGCCAAATTTGTTGATGACTCAAGTTTTGACAAGGCAATTTCTTCTGGTGTTACAATCAAGAACACCGTTATCAAAGGAACCCATTCAAATGATAGCGAAGTGAAGAAGCTTGCCCACGTGAAGATATCTCTTTTATATATTCCTGATAAGGAGGATTTTCTTGAAAAGTTAATGAGGTCTCTCCTTGTTTACGGAGAAGTCTTGCAAGTCAAGGAGTACACTTGTGGTGGATATTTCGAAGGCGAATTATCACTGATACTCGATACGACTACCGGTTATTCTGATGATGATAATGGAGAGTATGCCAATGAGCCGCTGACGAATAATTTATATTTGTTCGAATGGGATTGTTTTGCTTCGGCATCCTTCAAAGGTGCCCCTATCGTTTGTCATTGGTGTCACCACGCCGGTCACATACGCTCCAAATGTCCGGAATTGGCAAAAACCAAGTGCTTCGCTTGTCAAGGTTATGGTCATACCGCGAAATTTTGTAAAAAGAAAACGTTTCAGCCAGTGCAAGTCCATACTCCTAAGGAGGAATCTAATATCGAGCTGCCTACGATTGTTGAACAGGTTATCTCCGATTCTGATACAGACCTGTCAGATGCGTGCCAGCCTTCGAAGATTGCTGAAAGTGGTTCTTCAACGTCTAAGTACGCCACAACAGTAGAAACGGTGTCCATGGAAATTGAAGAAGACGAGGGTACATTACCAGTGACAGTTCCGACTTCCCATTTGGCTGGTAAAATGTTTGATGGTGGAAGAAAAATGCTAGGACAAAAGCGTTCCATTTTGGGTAAACAGAAGGCTATCAAGCAAAAATCCAAAGGTCCTGCTCCTAAGCTAGTTGTCCAGACGCAACATGCTCTTAAAGGTCACAAAATGTTTACGAAGACAAAGGTTGCTAAACCGAAATAGTTTAGTTTTCCCTTTTTTTACTTCTATATCTAACTTGCTAAATAAACTCACTGTTAATACAAAAAAAAAAAAAAAAAAAAAAAGGTATTTGCATCCTAGGCTTTCTTTCGCTTATTCGAATATTAGTTTCAAAAGAATTTTTACAAAAGGTATTTGCATCCCAAAACTTGTTTCGACGATATCTCGGTGAATTCTATCCATCCATTCAATTTTCTTTTTGCATTCGACGCGTCTTTGCAAGCTCTATCTTTTTCAATTATTACGCTTTCGTTCATCTCTTCGATCTCGACTACAATCTCGACATTTATAGAAATCTTCGAACAAAAAACTTTTTTCAATTCTCAATTTTCAATTCTTGATTCCAATTTTGAAAATGAATGACATGGAATCAAATGATCGGTTGTCCTGGACAACTGTTGTTGCTCGTGGGGCGTCCAATAAAATAGTTCGTCCAATGTATCGTTCTAAGGTGCAAGACTTGGAATCTAAGCTTTCTGGTACGGTAATTTACCAACATGCTGACCTGGAAATTCAAATCTTGGCTCGTAAAGCTGCTGCTATTGTGCGTCAGGCTTTGACTCCTGGTTCGGTCCTTTTTTCTTTTCCGGCTCGTCTTTTTAAAGTTCGGGCAGAAGCTTATACTGCCATTGAGGCCAGTTGTGGTAAGATCACGGGTGTTCGGCCACTTAGTATGTATGGTGGTAAGTCAACTGGTGATCTTCTGGTGGAAGTGAAGTTTTCGCGTCCCGAAAGTACAACTAAGGCTGTCTCAACAGGTGTAATGGTTGGTGAACTTTGTTTCAAAGCTTCCCCTTCACATGATGGTATGTCAAATAGTAATTTGGTGCATATCAAGTTGAGCATGCTAAGAATACCTGATGAAGAGAATTTTGCTGCCGATTTGAAACGGTCTCTAAAGTATTATGGTAAGGTGTATCAGATCAAGAAGTTCACTTATCACGGTTTTTTTGAGGGTGAGGTGTCTGTTTTGTTGGATGTTTCTGAAGGTTACCAGAATGATCTTGGTGAAACATTAAAAGCCCAACCTCTGTCGAATAGCTTGTACCTGGAACAATGGGATTGTTTTGCTGCTGCTTCTTTCAAAGGTGCTCTTCCTGTGTGCCATTGGTGTAAAATAGCTGGTCATCTTCGAAAGGACTGTCCTGAACTGGCCAAACGGGTGTGTTTTAGTTGTAATGGTCACGGTCATACCGCAAAATTTTGTAAGGCCAAAAAGATGAACAGCGACGCCGTTGATTTGCACGAGTATCTGCGCGCCTGCAATCGCGCAAAAGATGATGGTATTAATATATCTACGGCTGATCCTCATGGTTCCATAGCTGGTGAAAAAGCTGCCACACTGGATAAAGGCACCAAATCTTCGAAATGGGCTTCGGGTTCTACAATTTTTGATGTGGACATGGAGTCTGTCCCTCATGTGCAGCTTGAGGTTAGCGAGTCAGCTGAGACAATCGGGTCTAGCATGTGTGATGACATGAGTGAAGATGAAAACATGGCAGTTGGTACGTCTAGTGATGTGTCGGTTGGTGCCTCTGGGTCTGGTGGTGGTTCCGGTGTGAACTCTGATGTTGGTGAGGTGTCTCAGGTCGGTGATATTAGTCTTGGTTCTGTTTCCTATGGAACTGGTGGTGATATGTGTGGTGCTGGTGGTGATATGTCTGGTGTTGGTGGTGATATGTCTGGTGCTAGTGGTGATATGTCTGGTGCTGGTGGTGATATGTCTGGTGCTGGTGGTGCTATGTCTGGTGCTGGTGCTAGTGCTGGTGTTGGTTCTATTGCTGGTGCTAGTCTAACTGGAAGGAACTCTGCTGGTGGTGGTGGTCGAATTCTTGGCTCAAAGAAAGGAGGTTGATAGGCACTATTTGGACGGACCGATTCATGAGACGTTCATCGTATTTATTAGTACTCCGCAATTACGCGGTGTACCTAACAAAACCAAATCAGTCTCATAGTGCAGTGGTAGATCTATGCACCTCTCACGGCGCTGACTTGGGTTCAACTCTCGACCAGGGCAGATGCATTTTTTTTTTGCTTGTGTACGGCTTAAATTTTTTTTTTCATGACTCGTAAATAAAGCAGGGATCAGTGAATACAGATTAAACAGTCCAAAAAAAAAATTCTAATTGACAGTTCATGTTGATAAATTTTTTTTAGATTAATATAAATAGGTCCCATTTTGTTAGGTTTTTCTTTACTTTGTAATTTTTTTCAAATTAAAAATAATATTTCAAGGTAAGTCATTTTCAATTATTCTGTAAGCACGTTATATTTATAAGTTATGGTAGATGTCTCGCACATTTGCAGCTGGTGATAATGTTTCTTCTCGTCGTCGTACTGTCAGCACCCCTGTCCCTCAGTATGAAACTTTCAGTAACAATCATAACAATCGCACCATTCACCATTTTGAACAACCTGAAACCAATGAAACCGAAATTTTTGATTCCGAATCATCCCAAACCAACCCAGTAATTCCAGAAGAAACTGTACATCAAAGTGAAAACAACCAAGAGACGTTATACTACCAAAGAGAAAATATCGTTCCAATTCCAAGTGCCAGAGAGTTTTTCACAACAATTGCTGGTACTGAGCAACAGGCTATCAAGTACGTTTTTTTGTAAAATATGATTTTTATTTATAATTAATTTTTCTGTAATAGTTTCCTTGTGAATATTGGTGCCTTTTACTCTCCCAGTCAGCGTATGGAATGCGATTGTGGACGTGTTATGACTTTTGGTTTTGAGGAGTCAAGAGGATACCGCTGGAGATGTAATGGACGGCAATTAAACGGTGTCCGAGTCTGTAATGGTTCCCGTATACCTTTGGTCAAAGACAGTATTTTTGCTTACAAAAATACGCAAATTCACGATATCTTTGCCATTCTTTACTTTTGGTTGGTGGGAACCAAAATGGGTCAAATGGAGATACTTTCTGGCTGTTCGGCTAAAACAGTTCGAGCTGTTGTCAAGTCTATTCAGCGAATGTTGCAGCAAGATCTTGACGAACAGTCCGATTGTTGTATTGGTAAGCTCAAATATTTTTTTAAACAACTTGAGCACTAAATATCTCTCGTTTATAGGCGGCTTGGATGCCGAAGGTAATCCAATTGTTGTGGAGATTGACGAGAGTAAGTTCGGTAAGAGGAAGTATAATCGCGGGCACCGTGTTGATGGCGTCTGGGTAGTGGGTGGAGTAGAAAAAACGGCTGAAAGAAAAATGTTTCTGACAACTGTTGAAAAGAGAAACAAACCAGTTCTTGAACGAGTTATCTCCCGGTTCGTTAAGCCTGGGTCCATTGTACGAACGGATTGTTGGGCTGCATACAATGGGCTCTCTCTACTCGATATCCAGATCGTTCATCAAACGGTTAACCATTCCGAGGGCTTCAATATTAATGGTATTCATACGAATACAATTGAAGGTAAATATTATACAACAGGCAAATATACAATTTAAATTAAAATTATTCTTTTAAATAACTTAGGCTCTTGGAATGGTATCAAGCAGAAGCTACCCGCGAGAAAGAGAAACAAAAAGGATATGCCTTGGAATTTGGTCGAATTCATCTGGCGTCGCAAGCATTACGGTGATCTTTGGGGTGGCCTCTTGAAATGTTTGAAAGATGTAAGCGTTGGAGGAGCGTCTGATAGTCCTGATTTAACAGAAGATCTTCTTCAGCCAGGTGACACTCTTGAGCCAGAAGCCCCACCATCCGAAACCGAAGAAGAAACCGAAGTAGAATCATCAGACAATAGTTTAGATAATGATTCAGATTATAACGAGTAAAAAAACTTAATAATGAATACAAATAAAAGTAAATAATATAGAAATAAATAAACATACACATATATAAACAAACATGAAGATAACGAATACACATGAATATAAATAAATAAACATGACAATAAGTAATTAAACATAAAAGATTGATTGAACAATTGAAATACGTAATAATTAAATGAAGACAATATTAAGTAAATAATTAAACATAGTACAAAAAAGAATAAACATGATAATAAATAAATAAATATATAATTACGTTAATACATAAATAAATTAATAGATTAATAGATTAATAAAAGAATTAAAAACATAGTCATAAACAAACGAGCAAGGCAAAAAGTAAACAAAGTACGAAATAAACAAGTATTCAACTTAACAAATTAAGCATAAATACGTAATTAAATCGTAACAAATATACACAGAACTAAATAAATAAAGGCAGTATCCACAAAAACGTTGTAATACATCAACAGAGTCACGAACAAGCTAAGTTTAAAATGATATAACTTAACATTACATAGCATACTGTTTTAATAATTGCTGTCTTTTCCTATTTATTTTAGAAGTACGTAATATATAGGTCTATTCAAAAAAAATTAAACTATTTCGAAGTGGGGTACTCTAAATAGAAGTGAAAAAATGTATTCGTGCAGGGAAGTGCACAATATACTGTGCGTTAACTTAAAAAATTGCCACAGAAATATTTCTGACTTTCACCAACACTAAACGTCTGTCGTGGCTTCGGTCACACAAGTAGTTTAATATTTAAAATAGTGTTCACTAAAATATAATAAAATCATCTTTTGATCTCCTAAATAATCTTTGATATATTCGGTCGTTACATAACAATAGTTCCTCGACAATTGGTAGCACCAGTTTATTAAAAAGAATTGTTTTTGTAAAAATAATAGAAGTAGTAACAACAACGATAACAAGAATTTCATGTTGGAACAATCTCAAGAAAATTTAAACAAATTTGAAATTGAGGAAAGAATTGAAGCTGCCTTACCAACTGCATTAAAAGCTGCTTACCATAAATTAAGAATTATAAAGGCAGAAGACATTATTGTACGAATTAAATCAACAGAGAAAAGAGAGGCACATTGGAATTCAATAATCAAACCATTAGTTGGAAAATACATATTGGAATTATCGAAACAACACTTAGAACATAACAACCAAGAATTTTCGAAGCAACACTTAGAACATCACAACCAAGGAGCATCAAATATGGCTGATCAATATACAAACGAATTATCCATAGCAAACACTATTGCACTTGCGGTGAAAGAAGGAATAGCTCAAGCAATTGGGGCAATCAATGCTTCCAATACAAACCAACAACAAAATAACAATATGGAAATAGATCTTATTATCAAACCGATGAAATACAATGGATCTAGGGATCCTTTCGTTATCGATAATTTCATCAAGGGAATAAATGATTACAAAGCATATAAAGAATGGGATGACGAGCAGACGTTTAAGTTTGCTCGTACTTTGATGTGCGACATTGCATCCATATGGCTGCGTAACTTGGAATTAAATGACAATGATGCACCAACTACTTGGACTAGCCTGCGTGCGAAAATTATTTCAGGTTTCAAGCCAACGAATTCAGCTTTAGTGTTTCGAGAACGTTTAGAAGAATTGCGACAAACAACCACCATATCCCAATACATTCAAGACTTTTTGACTCTAAAACTTGGTGTGCCAACAATGACGGACGATGAAGCGGTATCTAAATTTATCAGACATCTGAAAAATAAGGATGCGCGTGTACATATTCGAAATTTGTATAGAGGTGACAAATGTCCTACCATGGATGAAGCAATCCAAGCTGCTTATGTATTTGAATCTGCCCGTAATGAGCATGGAACATATTCATTTTTGCCGAACACCAACTCCATGTCTGTACCTCAACCAATCGATGATCCGATGGATCTCTCCGCACTTCGTGATATGGTCAATTATATCAGTTCCAATAGCCGCGGTATTCAACGTGGTAATTATCGTGGTGGATATAGAGGTAATTTTCGTGGTGATTTTCGGGGTGGTTTTCGTGGTCGTGGATTTTCTCGTGGGGAATCTAGAGGTGGATTTCGAGGGGGTTTGCGTGGGCGTGGTTTCTCTCGGGGACAATTTAGAGGTGGCTATCAAGGACATCAGCAGTATTATGAACAAGAAACTCGGTCATGTTATCAATGCCAGCAAGTTGGACATTTACAGTACAATTGTCCGCAAAACCGCCAAGAAGCTCATTATATGAATGATGGTTTTTATTACAGCGACAATTATGATTACGATAATGAACAACAACATGACTATTATCCGCAATCACATCCCTCTTCCCACCCCAATCCTACCCCTACCCCTCAACCAATAATGGATAAATCTACCAATAAAGATAAATCTTCTCAACAGTATTCTCAAGAGCCTTTTATTCTTTATGCTGTATTGCCATCATCGGCTTCCTTTGTGCAACCGTTAAAACTAAATAAGGATATGATACAAAAAGATGTTGAATTCATGTTAAATGCAAATTCTACTCCTAACAAATTACCACTATATCGCATACTTATTAACGGTCATCCATGTAGCGTATTAATTGATTCTGGGGCTAGTGCAAATTACATTCATCCTCGACTTATTCCATACGTATCCAAAACAGCACCGACGATACAGGGTCAATCGGTTGAAACGGCGAATGGTCAATTAACAGCAATTTCAAAAATCGCATCGTTTTCAATAGCACTAGGAGATTACACTGATCGAATTGAAGCCTATGTATTTGATACAAAATTCGATGTTATCCTCGGTCGATCTTGGTTATCACAGGTTCAACCTGTTCCTCATTGGCCTACTGGTGAATGGCAAATCCGAATACGCAACAACCCATACCAGATAACAACTATTCGTCCTATGAAAATCCAAGTGCGTCAAGCAATAAATGAATTAAGTATCAAGTTAGCAGATCAACAGGAATCAAAACGGGATAAGCCAAAAATTACTGATATAGCAAATAGTACTAACAACGATCTCGATTTTTTGTTGACGGCTAAACAGCTCGACACATTGCTTAAGAAAAAGAAAGTAGAAGAATGCTTTTGGATCGACATTTCGGCAATCTATAGTCCAGAGGAGCTTCATGTTATGATGGAGACAGAATCAA